CTCTCTCTTTCGTTATCCTCTCAGAAATGCGTAGGATATCGCGGGTCGGGAGTTGCGCAACCGGTATCGTGGAAATTAGCATAATCCAACGTTTTGCGTGATAAACAAACGCGACACGCTGATTGGATTCGTCGAGTTCGAGGACGCGCGTGATCGATTTCAGCTGGATTCAGGTCGCGGAACAGTAGGTTTCTCGACGTAAATGGGTCTTAGATACGGAGATGCGGGAATTGGATGGACCCAGTTACAGGCGAGGTAACAGAATTGAATTTATTCTGGTTAGTGTGTTTATTCGAGCGTGCGGAAAGATATCGTTTCTACTTCGAAAACGGTGCTTCAAACGTTCCCGGGTTCTAGCTGTAATTTTTCCAGCGCGAACCCCGCTCGATAAGGTATTGATTGTCGGCTATCTTGTATCGAGACGATTCCGCGTTTCATAGAATTGAGAGCACGTTTCTGACAGCAATAGCTACCGATATGATCGCTTAATCCTCGCCAGATATCGATGACGCGCGACAGATATTTCATACATTTGATTCTGTTAGAAATTTCTTTAAAAATTCTTAAAAACAAATGTTCATCACAGAATAATATTGAATTTTTAAATATTTATCTAAATACATTAGAAAAAAATTATTTTTATCAGTCGTGAAAATCTAATCTAAAATCTAAAAAATTTCCAAATTTTGTAAAAATCAAAGGAACCTATTTCAAAAGAAAGCTAATCAGCTAATTGAGGATAAATAGAATTAGAAAAAAATTAACCTTCGCGTGTGGCGGTACGAAATCCCGTTACACCTAGTAATACGATGAATCGGTCGTAATTCAATTTCACCTGGCCGATTAATTATGCGCTGTATTAAATCTGAAGCGATCTAATCGCTGGCCCGCCACTGTTAATTGCTGTTATTTAATCAGAATTTACTCGTCGACCGGTAAATGGCCAGCGGGAATAGCGGTGGCGTGGCCGAAACTTTACGGCGATAGCCGGAAGTCCTCGTCTAGCGACACCCCGGCGTGCTACAAAATTATCGCGGTTTTACGTGTAAATTTCCATAAACCGCACCGTGCATATACCTTTCTAGCCACGGATGTTGTGGCGTACACGGAGCCACACCTGCGTCGCGGCTCTTGCGTTTGCATTTTCCTCCACGCTATTGTTGAAAAACGGAAGTTGCCTCGATCTTTCTCGCAACAACATCGCGCTTTTCTCGATCGTTTAATACAAACACTTTAATAATCCAAAAAATAATTTTTGATAATAGAATTCATCTATCATTTTTTTTTTCTCTTTAATTTTTAACTTTTTCATACAATCGGTGCACAACCTTGGAACGGAACAGGTGTAGAATTTTTGGCAACCGATCTCTTTGTACGCAGACCGAATACAATACGCGTGAAAAAAAGGCAAAAGAGCACATAAGGTAAACAACATGAACGATACCGGCATTTTTGCACGACCAGCATAGTCGATCGTCCTTTTCACAGCGATTTACATTGTTCCGAGTCAACAGCGGGTCGAGTTTTACAACTCGATACGCTCCACGTGCTTTCCATCGCGCGATCCACCATTTTTTTTCAGCCGCATCACCGATCAGGGCTCAATAGAGTAGAAGCTATAAACGTCTATAACCAAGATTTTCTCACCCTTCGTGTCTCCCTTTTTGCACCCTCGCCGTCTTCGCTCGTAAAATAGAGTAGCCTATTAACCGGGCCGATATCCACTGGCCGGAAGGGATGCTTTCCTCGCGGTCGTATCGTTGATTATTATGTTAAGGGTATTTGACCGGTTTTACAAAGTATCGATCGATCGATACCCAAGGAAATCTCGGAAACGAGCTAAGGAAGCGACGTGTCGTATCTCTGCTCCAGCTTTCCGGGTAAAAACGACACGAAAATTCTCTCGATCGGAGATTCACAAAGTTTCCTTCGACACCGAAGGAATAAGAATTAACTTTCAGAAAATTGAGAGTAGATATATGCGCTTAAAAATGTGTGAGTTGGAGGAGTATAATCTTGAATAATCAATAAGGAATTTAAAAAGAACAGTCGTTGGTGAGGTGAATAACAATTCGATCTATAAAACATTTTCCTCTCTACAATATTTCTATCAAATTTATCCACATTTCGAGTAATTAGATTTACAACACAATTAAGGAGAGTAATTTTTTTTAGGAGAAAGAGGTTGAAATTTTTTGTGACAGAAAATTATTATTTAGATACGATAGAATTTATTTTCCTATCATGGTAACAACTGTACAAGAAAATATGGAAACACAAAACTTTCACCATGTTATCTCGTATTTCTTCTCTCACCACATTGCAAAAAGCATCGAAGTGCTTCCATTGCTTCCGTAACGAGATCGCGAATCGATGATCTCGGAAAATTCTGAAGTACGTTTCCCTAGCTGTTGTTCTTAAAACATTTTCTCCTATCCTTATCTCGAGCGAAGGAGGAAGAGTATGTTCCTAGAGAACCTTTTCGGATTACTTTTCCCGAAAGACATTCGGTTGTTTTCTGTCGAATACAGACTGGTTTCGGTCGAGCAAACGAAAACGCTTCGTATATATTTGTCTCGGGAAACAGGAGTTTGTAGGTTCGCGTTAGGGATCCCCAATGAACGGGATAACTTTTCAGTGATTCGGTGCACCGCGGTAAAAATCGTTGGGTGCCTTTTTTCCATTAGTTTCACCAGGGTCGTCTCACTTTTACAGGTAGCTAAATAAACAGAATAGCGAACGGTGTACCGGCATCGCGAGCTTTTCCTTTTCCCTTTTTGTTGACACGCGAACGCTCGTATTTCGATAGGTTTTCGCTTGGAAGCGAGCTTTCGCTCGGCCCCGGGGCGGTCGAATGAAATTGCATCTGGAATTTCAATATGGCGCATATCGTGCTTCAACCTTAAAACGCCGCCAGCGTTGTCCGCAATTACTTTGAGGTTTGAGACCGCCCGGCAAAGCTGACTTTGCCGACCGATTATAGAGATTCCGATTGAGAGGATGCAGGTAAGTACCAACCGGGAAACCAGCGGGAAACCCTTGCCGGATCCTTTTGTAGAGGGAAAATTTTGCCTGCAGGGGACATTAGGTGGGTTTCCATGGAATAAATGATCAAAAGACAACGGTAGAGTCAAGCTTTCCCCATTGGTGACAGGACATGTTTGCACCACTCGCTTGTGACTCGTTTTCAAACTGCTCTCGTGAAATTTATTTGACAATAACATTTTTTTCCATTCAAAGATTTCATTTTTCAATTTTAATTGAAGCACCACTGCCCATATTCTATTGGCCTTCCAACTTGTTCATTGTTGTCAAACAATGAAGACAGGTATATTTTTATTAAAAAAATATTTGTGGAAGCTGCAACAAGCTGACACGAACGATACAATGTTTCTGTGTTCCACTTTGTAATTAAAATTTTGTTTTCACTATGTAACACACTTGATACCCTGAATCTCTGCAACTTTGCTTCTTTCCTAATTAAAACGAATATTCAGGCTGTGTTTGCAAACGTCATCGAAACGCTGGTAGATGTCTTTATCGTTAATCACAGATTGCCGTATCCTCTTTGCTCTCCCTTTAAATCCTTCAAAGGATCTGAAAGAGCTGTCCTCGAGGAAGAGACGGGGCAGCGAAACGGATTCAGCTCAGCTTACTACGAAATAATTAATCAGAAGACGAATAATTCGACTAACTTTGCCGGTGATATTGTAAAACGAGGAAGAAGCGTCGTGGAAAATGGTAGACTCGTTAGGAGTTTCAATTATACCTCCAAGTAAAAGCGAAAGCCGATGCCGGGATGGACACCTTTAATAAGGGAAACACATCCAATTACAAAATATTATCTATCCTGACTAATTACGAGTGACTGGCATTCAATAATCTGTTTCCTTGTAGCCGGCGCAATGCGTCGTTGTTATGAAATGTATTAAATTCGAGGCGCATTAACGCAATTACCCTAATACCCCGTTAATTAACGATCCCCGTCTCCCTCGGGGAGAAACCTGCTCTTCCCTGTTACTTGGAATAAAAAGGGGTGGAGAGAAATTATAATCGGAGTAATAGCTATTTGGGGCCTAATTAATTGAAATTAGGACCTATTATGTCACTAATCTTCTGGTAAAAATTTAAGTCCCAATTAACAATTTAGAAAATTTTTCAAACAGAAAAGAATTTTCCCACGATAATTAAACTGAGGATTAATTATAAAAGAAAGATCCGTTCAATAAACTAAGCGCAAAGATGGGTTGATCTAATGGCAAAGAGGAATGCAATACTTCGTCTATAGTGCGCCCATAAGTTTACTGGAGATAGGAAACAGGATATAGTGGAAAGTTTACATGGCGAAAGTTTCGGGAGTTTAGGTGATTGATATCATATTAGGTGATCAATAATGGCGTTCGAGCGACAGTTACTTTGTACATTCCAAAAGTCTCGCCCTTTGATACATGAAGATGTGATATGGTTTTCTTCATTTTATTTCATGTTCGTACATGACACTAAAAAGGGGTGAATGAAAAATGATCTCTTTGTAGCTTCATAAAAGTACGCTTTTGAAAATGATACATACTGTTACCAGATATTTTTTTTCTTTTATACTATTTAAGGTAAAATCAGCTTTATTGCTCTAATCTATATTATCAGATTATTATTGAAATTGAAAATGAAGCATACTTTATTAATTCATATAAAGCAGCTTGAAATTATTTAATTTCCTTACAATTTATTTTGAAATGCTGCAAATCAAAAATACAAACAATTTAATTTAATTCTGAAAAATAAATTACAATGTAACAATTGAAAAAATCACAGAAAGTTGCAACATATTTCAAAATATTTCTGCTAGTTTACAAAGTCAAATTAAGAAACGGTGCCGTTTGACTATAAATCTTTGACAAAGTAAATATTGATTCGACCCATTTACACGGCTCACGGAATGGCTAACGGCAAATCGAAAAAGTAAATACTCTATTTACATGATGCGACGTGTTTGATTTCAGTGTGCCATTTGCTGCGGAGCGGAGTTGCGGCGATTTTTGGGCCTCAAAGCGCGCACACTGCCTCCCATGTGCAAAGCATCTGCGACACCATGGAAATTCCACATTTGGAGACACGATGGGACTACAGACTCAGACGACAGAGCTGCCTCGTCAACCTTTATCCGCATCCTACCACCCTTTCCAAGGTATGTAGAAACTTTCAGAATAATATCCTCATCAAGTCGTCGGCGAGTGCCGTCGAAAATCTGCTCTCGCGTTTCTCGGTTTCTCTTTCCTCGTGCTTGGAAAATAAACGTGCTCGCATGTATTTTCAGCAGGATTTATGTAGACATTTTCATTAAATCCTTAAGCTTTGAGTTGGTATATCGTAAGTGCTATTTTGCGATAATTTTCTGTCATCAAATCCTGTTAAACTATATACGTTTCGAAGTTGGTCATTACTTGTTACAAACGGCAACCAATCATTTTATACCGAAGGTATCAATGAAGAATTTAAATAGTAATTTTTTTCAATATTTAAGCTTCAAATTGATATATTGCAAGTGTTATTTTGTAAAACTTTTATGTCATGAAATTAGCTCAGAATTTCAATGTTTCGAAATCGGTTATATCATTAATATCACAATTAGGGATTCAGAATACACTCAGCTTTTCTGTTGATTAAAAAATTAAATTTTTCTTCTATTTTAAGAACGATCGTAAAATATGCAGAAATATCAAAAATGTGCTTTTATCTTATATTGAATAATCCTGCAACCTTCTATCGCAGGGTTTCGATATTCTACTTTTAGCCGATTCAGTGTATTCTGAACCGTACATAGAAATAGCGTTGTTGGAGAGAAATCGGAAGAAATGGGTTAAAAAGAAACAAAGTCTTGGAGTAGCAAAGGCTTTTTCTCCGTTCGGTTGCGGTAGGAAACGTAGTTTCGTTCGAGCGTATTTTTCGTCTTCCAGTTATGCGTTCTGGCTGGCATGACGGTCGTCGCGCGTAAGTCAGCAAACTTATAACAAAAGAAGCAGAAGTTTCCGAATTTCTCTTAATAAACCGAAAGTTTTAGCCGGAAAGTGGCTGAAAGCGACGCGGTGGCCGCTCAGCTTACCGAGACTTTCGTCTCGTCTCGTCTCGTTTCGAGTTGTACAAAATCTTGCCAACCCCTCGCCTAATATTTGTCGTTCACGGAATATTCGTGTACCAACGTGTTTTCCTCCACGACTTCTTCGCTGCTCTATTAATATTTGCTAGTCGACAGGACCGGCGCAACGAAGTTAATAATTTCCCGGAAAATCTCTCTTTCCCTGCCGCGTTCCGCCAGCTTCGTGAAGTTCGAGACGAGGTTGAAGACCACCTCGTTGAATCGTCTTCTACGCGGAAAAGTTGCGAGAGACTGTTAGAGATTATTAGGGGAAATTTTCAAGCTACCGACGAAAACATCGGGCGATGTTCGAGCGTTGCTAGAAACGACTTTTTGACGCGTGCTCGCGGAAACAAGAGACGTGCGAATAACAGAGCTTGGTTTATGACGGGGACGTGACTTTCCCGCTGTTTGTTCGTCGCGGAAAATATCTCTGCTGTGGCTGTTCTGTTCTTGTATCAAGAATTCTAAATTTCGATTATGTTTTCGGGTACCGGGAATTTCTCCGAGTTTCTTAACCCGACTCGTTTATCGTTGACCTGCATCACTTTTTTCAAGTTTATTTAAAATTCCAAGTAATTATTCAAAATTTTTATTAGATTTTATAAACCCGGGAGTTTTTAGTTATTTATTTCACACCCTGTTCCTATGTTTGACAACTATATTGTCCGAATCGCGTGAAACGAATGAAAGATAAACGGAATTAACGATGATAGCCGGAGTACGGTGCGCGTTTGAACGCGAACGATACGATAGGTGCAACGTCCCTTTGTTTTTGACTGTACATTTTTTCCCGCCAAGCGGAAGCAAGAAATGCTTCCGGCCGTTGAAATAAATCTCCCCGGTGAAACATGGATCGCCAGCCGGACAAACTGGACATTGACATTGCTTTACCGTGGACACCGAAACCGAAACAGGATGTTTTAAATTTGAAACTCGACTGAAAACAACATTGGTCGAACGAAGAAGGAATAATATTGGTAGTTCTATGTACCTTCTGGCACTGTGAAAATTAACTGGCTATTTTCGATAAAATATATAGTGAACGAAATTCTAGTTTACGATATCTGTCGAGTAATACGTTTATTTTAATATAAAATAGAGGTTTCTGCTTTTTTCGAAACTCCACTAAATTCTGATCGTAGATTGTAATAAAAAAGAGTCACTCGACGGATACTCGGGTACTAATAACTTTTATGAAGATTTTATGAAACGACTGATAAATTTCTCCATCGACGACGCGTATCGAGTACAAAAGAATGAAAGAGGGGTAAGAGACACTCCACCCTCCGTTAAATATTATTCCGCTCGATTGCGGCTGACGATCGCGCGCGTCTTTGTGCTGACTTGATTAAAACTTCAAAAGCTAAAGCTTTTCACGGGCAAACAGGCGGACTCGATCGGGTGATAAAAAGTTTGACGAACAACCGACACGCCGGCTCGCAGTCATAGATCGCGAAATTATCGAGAGGCCAGGACAAAAGATACGAAATCACGTCGTTAACCGGTCGTCGTGCTTTTATCCAAGGAGAAAGATCTTCGAGTGTACCGTGTCGTTTTGATCGAACGAATTCCCGACGATCGATCCTTTCGAAACGAGACCCTTTTTACGGAAGAGGAAAAGACAGAAGCCCGATCGAGACAGGGCATTGTTCCACCGGTTAATCGGACCGGTTACAAAGCGTTCGTCGATTCCGAGGTAGAGGAGAAAAAATTTCTAATCCCGTCTCGATGGACCGTCGTGAAGCAATAAATGATGATTTTTCGGTCGCGTTGGCCGACTCTGAAGAGAATCGGTGAAAGAGCGTCGAGCAACGCGACGGCACAAAGAGCTCACGAATTACAGTGTCGGTGTAAGAATTTCAATTATAACCTAAAACGCACACGTGCGAGCGAAATTGAACTTTATCCATGCGTTAGATGTCACGTGCTTCCGTATCACAGCAACGACACTGCGAATTCCTCGAATGCCATCTGTCGAAATGCTTTTAGCTGCAATCGATGGAGAGAACAATTCTGTCCGGTGAAAAGGAACTTTAATGCTTGTTTAATGTACCTAATTTGCGATGGTGCGAAGCAAAATCAATGATCCGAGCTACTGACAAAAGTATAGACTTCAATTTTTTTACTCTAAAAATTTTTATTTCATTTTAAAATTATCGACCTTTTCAATTTTCTACCCTTAAATTATTTTTGGTTTAATATACTCGAGAACCACATATTATTTTGTGTGCCATACTTCTGCTTACTGAACTCGGGTCAAAGTTCCTTTGAAAACGCATTCGTACTCGTACGAATACACATTCGCATTTGTTATTGTCAGTTAGTCACTTTGAAACACTAGCATTCCGGAGATTCTCGCTTTTGTGCATTATAGTACATGTAGTGTTGGAAAGTTTTTTCTACCTCCATAAAGGAATTTGTGCAATCGGGAATAGTAACGAGCGACTGAATGTTATTTAATTAAATATTTTAAGTTCTTGTGTAGCACTTTGTTTCGTTCGATTCGTATGGTTTAAATTTTTATTGAAAATAAAAATTGAAAGGAGGAGGAATGATACTGAAGTTGGAAAAGCAGGTCTCTTAACAGGAAGAGTAATAATTGATTCGTTCCAAGTGAGCTTGTGAAAATTTTATCGCGAAAAAATTGGGTTACTGAGAAATTTATAGACTTGTCTTGTCTCATCTTCGATCTTTTGAATCTTTTAAAAATTGCCACAGTGAAAACATCAATCACTAAGGAAACCAATTTAATAATTAATATTGTTAATATGATACATCGTGGGCCAAAAGTCACAAAAGAATTTCGAATTGTAATGACTTTTTTCCATATTCAATTCAAATATTTCATGAATGAAACCGACACTGTTGCTTCCGTGACAAAACATTTCCGCCCAATTAGTCGAAGATTAAGCATTGAGAAACTTTCAGAAAAACCGGCTGCTAACTTTCAATGAGAAGCTCGATTCTCGAGTACGTATGAAAATTCTATCCCTGTAAAACGGCCAGTTCTCGGAGTTTCGTGAAACACAATTTCTCGAGCCGTCTCTGGGAAAAAGAGGAAAACCGAATTGGAGAGTTTATTTGTAGCCAAGTCTTGGCCAGATTTTTCGCGTTCTGGTCGACGGATGGTGAGCTTACCACGACGAAAAGAGAAGTGGCTCGTAGGGTTGCCAGTCTTTTCAAGTTGCCTTTAGCCAAGGTGATTCCTTTGACTGAATTTTCTCAGTCGATGCTTTTCTTCCATACTCGTTTCCGTTACCTTGCCTGCCATTTGTATTCGCAACGGAAATGCGAAATTCAGCGGAGAAGAACGATTACAGAATGAAACGAAGCGTCGATATGCGCGCGGGAAATATGTTCATTGAAATCGGTCTTCCGAGTTAAAATGATCGAGGACGACGTTGCGAGAACGTGTAACATTGAATACAGTCACGAACGCTTGCTTTAATTAGAAGGAACTCGTTCTTCCGACATAATTTCAATCACGCTTCTTACAGTGAAGGTAGAAAGGGCTTGGAGATAGTTACGTAAAATTGGTTGTACGAAACAGTGGAAGGAGACTGTCGAGTGAATGAAAATGGAGTCGTAAGAAGACCTTTTTGTTTCCCTATCACCGTGTTTTCACAAGGAATTGATGATTGTATGTGTGACACTTTTTCTGTATCAATTGCGACAGAGAAATATTTTAAAAACTGAATCACAATTCCTTGGATTTTACTGGGACGTTTAAATTGCTGGAATGTCTATAGACAGTGTAGGTACATGGTTTCATCGCCAGAAATGTTGTTTCGTAACATTCAAACGATCCACGGTGGGGTTTCAAGAATCCAGAAAACATTTACAGGAAGTCGAAACGGTGATCCGGATTACAAACATTTGCCAACGTCGCTATTAACACTTTTACTGTCACACCATGTTTGCCAAAGAATCCTCTTACAAAGTAATCTAATTTTATACAAATTTAATCTATTACATCAGTGATATAATAGTCAGCGTGTTAAAATATCATCATGAAACGGTATATAAGCTCTTAGAAACCATACCCGAAG